CCGGCTATCAGGTAGCTGCAGAGTGACCGACACGGACCTGCAGCTTCTGCCGTGACGGCAGAGAAGGTCGTCACTACAGAGCCGAGCGCTGAGAGGGTGGGGACACACTCCGTCATGCTCTGATGGACGGCTTCAAGGCGGGCAGCGCGAGAAGCGGCAGTGCTGTCCGAGGCTGGCCAGATTCCCGCGATGATGCCACAGGGCCGCCGCGGGCACCTGCCGTTAACCACGGGCTCAGTGTCTCACTACATACACGGCGTAACCAGGACCAAAGCCCACCGCCGATTATAGCCGTCTTCTACAGTAATTAATATTTCAGAACCAGAACCTCAATTTCATGTCCATTAAAAGCAAAGAAAAACCAACAGTAATTGTTTTAAAGACAGTTTATACTACAAGGCCATTGTTTTTTATTAACTTTCACAAGGCTGTATAAAAACATTATATTATATTATTTTTACTATTGCTGCACTGCCAGTAACTGCAAAAATACGAAATAAAAAAAGAATACAGAAAATCAAGTACTTGCAGTTTTAAAATACTCAAACCTAAACCCTCTATCAAAGAAGCTTTTTTATATTTAGGGCTAATGGCACAACGTTCGGAGCCCAATGACAGGTATGGAAAACACAACCATCTTCATGAGCGAGTGCCCTGCAGCGTAATACAAAGGGCAGATCCCCCCCCCACACGTAACGGGTGGGTCACGCAATACCCCCCCCCCCCCCCATTCTCCCAGGTATCCCTGTCATTCACCGGGAGGAGGGGAGGAATCGAAGTGATCTCACCTCAGACCGAAGGTGTGCGACTGCTCATAGTTGAAAAGCGAATGTATTTTGGCGTCTGAATTAATCATGATCAGCCTATCGATCAGATCCTGTGGACAAAAACAATACATAAAAATACGGATGAAGAAAACGTCGTATCGGCAAAGGGTGGAAAAAATTACAATATACAGATAGACCCAAGAAAGCAAAACGCCAACATTAACAAAACATGGGTTCGGTTTGGCCCATATTTACAGTGTAATTGCTGCCCTTTGCAGGGAGTCACTCTGATGAAGCAGAAGAGGCCTGAGACTTTAATTACAGTGATTTCACCGTGAACATGGGCGGGAACTGAGCAAATTAACACGCAAATTAACGAGATTCAATACAGCTGGTGGCAACTGCTGTGGGATTAGCAAAATGATTATTTCAAGGTAAAACTTTTCCATGGTTTAAAAGGAATGGAAGATCAAATTTTTTATCCTGACTATAAATTTCAGTAATATTAATAAATTACATTAATTTATTAAGCTTTAAAATAAAAGGACTAATTTGTAAACGGCAAAAGTTCTCCAGTGACATATATATGAATGTTAGATTCATTGTAGCGATTCCCCCATTTATTACTAAGGTATCATTTCACAGTTCATCTCACTTTCTCATGCCTCCGTTTGAAGTGTTTCATTAATGCAAATTACGCCATTATCTATATATAATACCTTTAACAAAAATGACAGTAATATCAAAATGGTTACTTAAATCAATTCACACTGCATAGCTGGGAGCACGCAGTCCTCCGAACGTTTGTTCGGGATTCACCAGTCTAAATATGCGCAGAAATGCAGAAATAAGCTTACTGTCAGTATGTCAATAAATACGGTCCGTCAAAGCTAGGAAGACCATGATAGAGAAAGTTGATATTAAAATTTTACAATAAAAACAAATAAAGCAGAATGGAAATGGAGGAATCACAATCTAACATGAAAAACTGTGCATGGACCCACAAAACCAGTGGTTGATGTTCGCCCTCTAATGGCAACCATTGAAACTGCAACCGAAGTGATGAAGTATTCTGTACTCCGTCTTATCTAACAATTATTTCACAAATATCATTGCGTTATAACACAAATAGCTATTAAAAAGGGAGGAAGCAGTGATAAGCATGTTATATAAGCATGCCGTAATCAGAGCCACGTGATAACTCAGGACTCACGATGATGGAGGTAGGCATTTCTCTGAGGGAGTATTCCGCTTTGTTGGGCAGCTGTTGTTGCCCCAGAAGCTCCCACACGGCGTAAGAGGAATACAGGAGATTCACCAAGGCCAGGAATGACTGCAGGTGAGACACAGGAGAGGTGGGGGGTGAGACAGAATGGTCTTCCCCTCCCTTACAGGCTGGGGGCGCCACATTCAGCTAAAGCGAAAGTGGACGAGAGTATAAGCATTTTAAGTTCAATAAGATAAATCACAGGTATAGCAGGTATGTAAAGACTGCCTCCAAGCAGGATGCCCATTAATCGATTAAGGTAAACAATGGTATTTCAGGAGGCCAAGCTCACAGCACTAACGTATTAACCAGTCCCAATATGAAGGCACATGTCGTATTTATCAAATAAAGCCTTTCTGAAAATGTGCACTACACACACTGACAAAACAGGGGCTGTATATCAAATATGTACTGAATATTCACAAGGCTTCTTGAACTATTCTGTGTGAGAAATGCTCAAAACCTTCACTGTAACCTGGGGATGTGGAAATTTTTAGAATGATTTAAAAAAACAATCACACCTCCTTCTGAGAACTTCAAACTGCAGATACCTGCATTTCCCCCCATCAAGATGACCTTCTTTAATCCACTGATCCATCATCAGACTGCTATACAAGTTACCTAATTTCTGACACCAGTCCATTGAGCCTTTGCTTTTTTTGTTGAGTTATATCTCTCTGGCTATTTAGCAAACTGCAGAGACACTGGGGGAGGGGGGGGGGAAACTAAGGACTTCTGTAAGACGCTGGAAACGATGAACAATAACGACTTAATATTCCGTAAGCATAGGGCCAGCTTTCATCGGCAACGCAGACACGTTCCTCTGCAATTCTTATTCCGGAAAACACAAACCTGCAACTGATGTATGTCAGAGTCTTCCATAAAAAAAAAGAATCAGATGGAAATTCCTTCTCTTTCATCCGGAGCTCAGCTAATCTGCATTCTGTCCGCATCGGACGTCTGCCGCCCCCCCCCGACCAGTCCAACTGGGACCTCGGTCAAACGGCCAGCGCCTCATATCAGAGGCTGTGCTCCTGACTTCCCGAGAGACACATTAGCTATGCGGAGGCAGCTATAGGGTGGGATGAAGACCTCACGGCTGCTTCTTTGCTGGGGCTTGTTTGGCTGAACCGCTCCAGCTTGAGAGACAGAGGCACGGGGTCTCCCGAAAGCGGGAGGGGCTGCGGTACCTTCCGGCAGCTCCTGTCGATGGGGTCCATGGGCGTGGGCCTGGGCTGGACAACCCTCACATCCTCGGGTTCGCATTCTAGTGCCGACCAAAGGTCCACGACGATGGTCTGGACAAAACCTGCAACAGCACATGGTCCTCAAACCAGCCGGCTCTGAAACGGGGCCCCTTAAAGGCTACTTCTGATACGGAAGCACTAATTACCACAGACACAGTGCACAGCCAGACACCTGTTATCCACTCAAACTATTACACAGAGGTAGAAAGTTCAGGCCCAGAGAGTAAAAATCCACACCGAGATTTTGTTTCAACTGACCAGCAGAGTATAAAGAGCCACAGTCACAGAGTACTCAACTGATTGGTTGAAACAAAATCTTGGTCTGGATTTGTGCTTTCTGGACCTGAACTATCCACTATGCTATTACATTTCAATATGAATTCACTGCACAACGACAACGTTTAAGATTTTAAAGGATGCTGTTATGAAACGACGTGGATGCTGAGGTCCCAGAGTGGAGGAATCAGGCCAGTCGCTTCACCCGCTCTCGCGCTCGTACCCCACACACAGCGGCGGTTCCTCCGTGAGCCAATGCCCCAGTTCCTCCCTCCCATCTCCTGTGACAAGGCTCTGTTTGTGGTCACGCCCAAGCAAGTCACACAGCTACCTGCTTCACAGTTCCATCATAACCACTGTTAGGCCTGTATTTGTCATGTACCGTTTGGTACATCGTTTTCGGTTTGTAAGCACGAGGAAACTAATAAATGCATTTCTTCACACAGGTGGAACAAGGAGAGTTTCAACATTATACAGGGTCGGCAGCTCTCACCATCTCACACTCGTGCTTTCAGACTCTCATGCTCACGCAAGAAATCTTACAGCAAATCTATGCATAGAGCAGATGCTAATTGCAGCTGTGAGTTGGTTACGGTCGACGCTGGTTACAGTCAGTCATAAATCGGCAGTTTGGGAACATTTTGGTCTCCCAATAAATTACAGCAAAATAGCTGATAAGACCAGGAATGTCTGCCAGGTCTGTTATACCAAACTTGGATATATTGCTGGAAACACATGCAACTTGCTAACCCATTTGAGACGGCATCATCCGAGCATGTGTACGACCGGAGTGAGGCAGCGAGGCAGCGAGGCAGAAACAGCCTCTGCAAGTTCATCTCCCGGTGGCATTTAAGGCTCTTTAGCCAGGAAATTCAGAGCAGGCTAAAAAAATAACTACAGGCTACAGAGGTGTTTATCACTACAGACATGTGACCATACTTGGCAGTAGAGCACAAAGGTTTTTATATGTGATTTAGTTAGATTTTTTGTAGATATTTATTTTTACAATGTGCATATTAGGGTCTCTTAGATTTTGTTATTCAGACACGTCCCCAGACGGCCTTGCCTTATGTTTTACAGCTTCCTAGCTGTGTTTGCAATTTTAATAATAAATAATTTCAAAATAAATTGTTTTCCCCGCTGCACCAAGATTCCACCAAACCGTGAACCCAAAACCGAGACTGGCACCGATCTGTGACCTTCATGTGCCGTGATCAAACTGCCAAACCTCTCCGTCGTTATGACCGTCTGGCTAAGATGACAGGGAACAGGAGCATTATGGGATGTCTGGATTAAACAGTCTGTACCTGAGCTCTGCAGGGCTGCTACGCCGGGGGCAGTCGCTGCTACCTGAGTGACCATCACCCCATAACCAAACTTCTCACATCTGCTGACCTGAGGAGTGACCAGGCAGTAAATAAAGATCCTGTTATGATTTATAAGCACTAACATCAATATGGGGTACGACTAACTAGGAGATTGTTACTGATATTAACTGTCAAAACTTTCTCAGTCACTTTCATGTTAAAAGATAAATAAATCCAACATCATCCAGGAACTGCTCAATGCTGAAGCTATATGACTGTAAGAATGTACAGTGCCAGGGGTCATAACGACCTCGGCCACAAGGTGGCGTCTCGGTCACGATACCTGCAGCTTCTTCGTGAACCTGGTGAACATGTACGAGACGCATTCGTGGATGGCGCCGGTCTGCTGGAGGAGCAGAAAGCCCTTAGGGGTGGCGGCGAAGTTCAGCAGGCTGTCCAGCAGCGTCTCCTCCCAGGCCAGGCTGCAGGATCACGCACACGCACACGCACACACACGCACACGCACAGGCACACATTTATATGATTTGATACCCGATCGGATCGGATACCTCTGATCCATTTAAAGAAGGTGTGGTGCTTCATTGGACCTTGAGCGACCTTGAGACCTCTCCCAGGATTCGACCCAACAACCATCAGGTTAAGAGGCTGCCTATCAGGGCTGGCTCTGCCTTTTCAGGAGGCCGCCCTACCCTAAAAACTGGTAATCATTTCACTTCCTCCACAATTCTGGGTCCCTAAGCAACTGCCAATTCTGCCTATAGCTAGTCAGCCATTTGATGTACATGTTTTTTTTATATTATTTTTGTGTAATTATTCTTATTTATAAATTATACATATGTGAATCTTATACACGCCAAGGAGAGTGATAGAGTGTCATATCACATGACTTGGCTGCCTGACATTAGAAATGGCCAGAGAATGAAGGAAAAGCAGCCAATGAGGGCTCAGCATATGTGGGAGCTCCTTCAGGACAGCTGGAATAGCATCCCAGGAGGCCGCCTCATGGAACTGGCATAGAGGGGACAGTAGGGTCAGTCAGGCCCTGGAGCAATTGGGGTTAAGGGCCTCACTCAAGGGTCCAATGGTGGGATCACTCTGCCAACCACGGGATTTGACCCAGCAATCTTGTGAGTCCCAATCCACAGAGCTGATGTCTTTATTCTAAAATGATGTAGAGAAATGATGGTAGAAATTTACCTTTTTATGTGGGTAGGTGTATATATATTTATTTATTGTTCATGTCTGGGTCCCTTTGGGCCAATTGGGTCCAGGCAGCCATCTTGTTTGCTGCCCATATCCACTGGTATAAATAATGGGCCTTTTCTCCAACAATAAGGTGGAGAGAGAGTGAGAAGCCGGGAAGGGGGGGTCTCACATGCTCTGGGCTTCCTGCGAGGACGGGTCCGGTGAGGCTCCGGGGACTGGGGTGGGAATCCTCTCAGCCAGCGAGCTCGCCTATGAGGGAAACGCGTGATGTCGTGTCAGCGCAGCCGGCCTACGGATTTCGCACCTGAGGAATCATTCATCTGCTCCGCGGGGGGGGGGGGAGTAGAAGCGGGGGGGGGGGGGGGGGGGGCTTTGCAGGGCGCAATCAGATGCCAAGCCTGTATACAACTTTTATATCATTCTGTCTGCGGTCTGTGCTGAGAAAACAGCTTTCAGGTTTACAATTTTTCTAATTCAATTTGTATGGCTGCAGACAGACTGATGAGTCCTTGTCGTTAACCTTATCACTTTATTGCCAACAAGCCAGAAACACTTTACGGCTGTTTTGAACTTGTCAGCAAATACAGGAAACACTCCCCCACATAGCAAGCAACCAACTGTTAAAAAAAAACAAAAAACATTAAATAACAAAATGGAAAAAAAAAAAATGTGAAAATGAAAAAAACATCAACAGCTCACAAACTCAGGAGGTCCAACCAGAAACACTGTGTGTCTGTAGATCCTCAAGTGACATAAAACCCGACAAAGACCTCAGATATTTCATTCTGCAAATTGAAATTCCACCGGTACTAAACAGAAACAAATTACACCTCAAATAAATAAATAAATAAAGACCTTCTACGCCTTTTACGGAACATCCGCCTTCAGAGAGGAATCATTAAGTAGGTTTTTATGGTTAGATTTAATTGTTCTTGCTTCCAGGACAGAATGTGTCACAGAATATCTGTCACCGTTTAATGATTCTATTAAGTATTACAGAAATCTATGGCGAATCGTTTACGGGAGTCTTTAGGTTAATGAACAATTTGTTGCCGGGGCGAGGCTGTCCCAGAAGGACTTGGGACAGGGACGAGCCCGGATTTCGGAGGTTTTCCAGACCATGTCACAAAGACCCACGATAATCGAGGCTGCATTATGTACTGTAAGCAATGACTGATAAAGACAATGTTGATTTATGGGCTTATCCTCACACTCACCACTCCCCTTGTACTGAAATTCCTGGCTCTGATTTCCCGGTTGATATTTAACATTTTACAGTTAAAAAAACGTAACCTAAAAGGAAGACAGTTTCTCACCTTCAATGTTTAAAATCATGAATATGTAAATATTGGAAGTTTGCTGAAGGTGAACGAAGACCAACAGTTACAGAGACGGTTTCAGACCCGCCATAGGCCAGGCTGTGGCGACACAGGCGGAGCCTGACACCTTCAGGGTTGTGGGTTCGAATCCCACCTCTAGCCGTGCATGTGGAATTTGAACGCTCCCCCTGGGAGTCCTGAGTGAGAGGCTAAGGACAAAGACCGGACTCCTTTGGTACCGTGTCTCTTCGGAGAGTCCTTGGGCACCGCTAATTTGACTTTGTGCAGAATGAGCGGTCGCTGAGGGAGTCGGCAATGAGACACATCGCCTGCATCGTGAGGGAGCGTCAGTGACGGCACTACGGCCATGTGGCGCGTTTCTCTGAGGGTGATCCGGCTCGCAGGATCCTCATCAGACCTGAGCGGCTGGACCAGGCCGAGGGGACACCGACATAACACCAGGTAGCAGCAGCGGCCATTTCTGGAGGGTGGGACTCGACCCCACGTCGGCCAACCTGGCCTGACCTATTTTTAAGACGCACATGTCCTATATTTACTTGCCCTGTAATACCTGTAAACTGTATGCAAATTTAGCAAAAGTTCTGCACCCAAACTCAGATAGACCCCCCCCCCCACCTTTCTCCAGGCCTGGGCGATGCAGTCGTGCAGGCCGTAGTCCCGCAGCGCGTGCAGCCCCTCGCACGTGTTGTACATCTGCCGGCACGTGAAGACGAAGGCGCCGGCCACGTGCGCCACCCCCGGCCCACACTCGCACGCCAGCAGCCGCTGCGTGAACCGCACGATGACATCAGCGGCCGACGTGCTGCGGGACGGTGCGGGTGCTTCGTTTACATGGATGGGAGGGGGGGGGGGGGGGGGGGGGGGGCAGGGCACTCGAGGTCACAGCGAGCGACGGCCACTTTCCTCTTACCTCTCGCCATCAGCGGAGACCAGACCTCTGTCGTACAGGAAGAGGGACAGGCCACGTTCTGTGGCGGCCATGCGAGCCAAGATGTCGGCTACGTTCACCAGTGCGGCTTCCTGAGGGCCGACAGTAACCTGCCGCAAAGCACACAAACACAGGCGGTTCTAGACCCAAATTAGGGGACATTCAGTCCCGTCCGAGACTCAAATCCAGGATTCGCCCCTGGACAGTGGTGAACTTTAGCAGAGCATTGAGCTACATTTTCTGACATCCCCTTGACTGAAAAAGTGAGTTTCAGGCTCAATTCACCTGCATAGAATATAATTAAGGGGGAAAATATTTCAGAAGTGAGTGTAATGGGTTGGGTTTGTATCCAAATAGCCTAAAACCGGGGAATAAATGGGGTTATTATCGGGGAATAATTGCCACCTGCGTCCCTCTCAAGGAGGCGACCACGGGAGAGAGCAGCGTCTCTACGATGACCCCGCAGTGAAGGCACTCGTCAGCGCAATCCGTGCGGTCGCCGAGGGTCCGGAGCAGCTCCATCAGCAGGCTGCTGGGTGACAGAGCGTCTGGAAGACACAACGGACGCCCAGGGCTTCATTCCTCTGAAGTATGAATAACTAACAAGCAGTAATCAGGAGTAGGGTTGCAAAGGGCTGGAAAATTTCTGGAAATTTTCCTGAAACTTTCCGTTCCATGGGAAGTTAAGCTGGGGAATTTTGGAAATATTCCACATTAGAAACTTTCCATGGGAATTAACGGGAAAGTATGGGAATTAACAAGAATATTCCTAGAATTTTGCAACCCTAATCAGGAGTCATAATGATGTCACAGGTCATTATGATGTCATCATCCTCTGAACTAAGAGGATCTGACGAGCAGTAACCAGGAGTCATTAGGATGTCACAAGTCAAGAAGTCCAGCAGACGGTCACAGAGTGCAAGCGATCGCTTTATTATGGGAGGGGCTCCCAAATCAGCAAAGTGTGATGGAGTCAGGAGGCATCTTTTATGGCCAAATGTACGATATCAAAGTCTGAAAAAACAACGACATGCGAGACAGCATGATCACACCCAAGTATCGGGGCGTGCTGAGTATGAAAACTGACTCTGTACTTGGCTGCATCCAGTGAAAAATTCCACGCACCACAGATAACTAGTTGTTAATATTAACACTTCGGCTGTAACATGAATTTTTTCATTGGAAATTTGAGCCCAAAGCTTCTTTTTTTTTTATCGGTAAATCTGCAGCGGTGCTCTGACACCCGCTTTTGTGACTTTCCACCTGCCCTTCGTATCATTAGGTGCCTTCAGAGGCAGAATAAGGCGTTTATTCACCACGGACCCCAGTCTCCATAAATACCGCAGTAACTGCCCTCGCAGCTCGAACCTAACTTGGGCTTCCACTTGAACGCCGGCCTTTTGGGAGAGTTTGCCTTGTAGACGGCGCGGTGCCATTGTCTTATCGACCACCCGCTGGTCCCGAGAAATGGCAAGAACTAAACAACCATAAATCAGTATTCTTACAGACTTGCAGTTACACTCAAATCTGACTGAGCCATCTGAGATTAATTATTACTGACAAAGAAAAGGATGAATCAGGCTTAACGCCCATCTGCAGGTCGATGGTTATTCAGTGGGTTCCATATTGCTACATAACAGACACCGAAGTTTCAATTAATGATTGGTTTCTTTTATACAGTACAGAAGTTCACATATATGTGTGGGTGTTAATAACCAACTGTCATCAAACAGGCCTGTTCTCTGACAAGGCAGAGAATCCCTGCCTTCTGACTGAGAGGTAAAACTGCTCAGTTGTTGAAATGCCCGTCAACGGCTCTGAAGACAAGGACTAATCACCATCTGAACAGCTTCTTCCCCAGGCCATCGTCCTCCTAAACAAGGACCCACCAGGAGCACACTGGCGCTCAGGGGACGCTCATATTTATTCATATTTCATGCCCCAAAACTGTACTCTAATTAGGGGAGTTTCACCATTATTTATATGTCTACATGTTTATTTTTTTGCACATTTCATTTCTACTTTTATTTCCGTTTTTTATTCTACTTATTGTCTTTTGTATTTCTGTCCCGATTGTATGTTTAATTGTATAACCCGTGAACCAAAAGAGATACCTTGTTGTTTTTGTACCTGGCGAATAAAAAGAGAAACCTTAGACCGAAATACATGCCGGGGACTCAACGTGAAGCAGACCTGCGTGGGAAAGGGCACCGAGCTGCGGTTTGGGGTCCAGGTACATCGTTCGGATCAGTATCACAATCAAGTCCATCAGGGACAGCGGTTCTGCGGAGGGTAAAAGGCCACAGAGTAAATCAGGAGATTAAATCCAGAGATTAACTCATCCTTAATGAATATCTTCGGGATTTCAGTATTCAGTACAGTATTGCAGTATCCAGCTCAGAACTAACACAGGGAATCGGTGATGGGTTGTGAAATCACTACGGGTTTCTCACCTTTCCGTTTCTTTACCTTGATGGGGAAGAGTCTCCTCCCGTGGGCGTACATCAGCAGGCACCCCAGGACACTGAGCGAGTGGGCGAAGTGGGCGTACCCCAGCTCCCGGCCCGTGTACAGCATCCTCTGGGCTGCACCTGCAAGGTCGTGCATCCTTACCGGAGTGACGTCTGCAGTCGTCTGCACACAGGGGCTTATAGCAACACCGGTTATCTATGCATGTTCCAAACGCTTGGTGGGGGGGAAGTGCATGTAGTGATTTGTCCCGTATTTTCATACACATTTTGTACATAATTTTACGATCACATGTATGGGATACCTGTTTGGCCAATTCAGTTGTGGGGGACACTGCAAATTTTACCCCCGTAGACTCAGGTAGGGGGGCGTTGACATCCTGTTTTTCTTCATTTTGAAAGCGACAACCCTAGAACCCTGGTACTAGATTTTAGCTGCCTAAGGGTCAAATCCTAGAACAGGGGGTCTCAAAGTCCAGACCATGGTCTGGATGCGGACCAAACTGCAACTTAATTTGGACTTAGCTGATAATGCACCTTATGAATCTATATGGTAAATGTAAAAAGGCTTAATGTGGTTTTAAGTACAATGACAGAGTGTTTAAACGATCAGAGAGCATTAAAAAGATCCCATGTCTGTTATATATTGATGTCTGTAAGTTATTGTTAATTCATTAAAAGTTCAGGAAATGCTGATTTGCTTTTGAAAATTGTTCCAAACCTCTGACTTTGAACATAAATCTGATGTGGGTTTGAACAAAAAGTTTGACAACCCCTGTCCTAGAATCACGCCTACGGTAGAGGGACATGGATTTGACTGGAGCCTTTTCCACTTTAAGATGAGGGCAGCAGGTAACCGGATGGGCCGCCAAACACAAACATTCATGGAGGTGATTGGTGTAGGCATGTACCCACAAAGCTGGAATCGAACCCAAAACCCCAGGCAGCGCGTCACACGCCAAAAGCTCCAAACCACCCGGCTGTTTAGACACGGCTAAGCTTGCAAGCTGTGCAACAACAGGCCAGCCTGCGGCTTCGGTTTGGAAACCCACCCGGGGGGAAGAACCCTTTATATGAAACAGAAGGGCTGAGCAGTACCTCTGTGGACCAGGCACATGAGGCGGAAGGTTAGCAAAACCTGTACTGCCGTTATCCCAAGTAGCCTAAGCTTTGCAGGGCACGGAAAGATGTCTTTAAAAAGGGATTTTTCAAGGGATACTAGAGAAGTATTTGTTCATTACTTGTTTTAGCAACAAGAGAATCTTAGAAAGTCCAAACAGGAATATTATCAATGAGACAATTTCACGTCATATAAATACCTGGAGTACCGTACGTCCATGTTTCTGAGTGTTAAGCAGACAGAGGTAACAGAAATGGCTCACGGGAGCTGGTGGGGGTAACGAGGACGGCCCCCCCTGCTCTGCTCTCTCCAGCTGCCATGGGAGGAGTCCTGGGTTAAATAAACCCATGCGGCCACATCAGTTACGAGAGAGACCCATCCCCAAGCTGCGCACACGTGCCCGACTGCACAGCTGCTCGCAAGATGGTGCAGACGGATCAGCCCTGAACCCTCCGACAGCCCCCATGAGGACGGGCTGCAGCGACAGACCAGGGGACAAACACAAGCTAACTGGGATAGACGCACCCCAAAGGAAGCATGTGGGACTCCAGGGAACACAATAAGACAACTGGTTTGGATACGGGGTGGGAACCAGCATGGGACAATGTGCAAAGGCTACAGACAAAGTGCGGGATTCGAACCCACATCCCTGGAAGTGCGTGGAGAGGGAACCAGCGTGGGACCACGTGCAAAGGCTACAGACAAAGTGCGGGATTCGAACCCACATCCCTGGAAGTGCGTGGAGTGGGAACCAGCGTGGGACCACGTGCAAAGGCTACAGACAAAGTGCGGGATTCGAACCCACATCCCTGGAAGTGCGTGGAGAGGGAACCAGCGTGGGACCACGTGCAAAGGCTACAGACAAAGTGCGGGATTCGAACCCACATCCCTGGAAGTGCGTGGAGTGGGAACCAGCAT